TGTTGATACAAGTTTTTCTTACAACAGCGACAAAATGTACTGTAAATGTGCATTTATTCCACCTTGTCTGCTGTTGGTGAACCTGTTCAGTCCTTAGTGAAACTGTTAGTGCAACTGTTCAGTAACTTTATAATTAGAGCTAAGAGCTATTTGCAATTCTGACCTTTTTAAACCAGAGAATTTTGCTTTGAGTAAAAAAAGACACCAGCTGAACCGTAATCAGTATTTGGCCGAGGCTTGCACCACTGACCCCTCTTCACATATCCTCATGCTCAGCCTGAGTGCAAGTCTTTCAGCAACGTGTGAGCACATTCCTCTCTGATCCTCTCATCTCAGAAATTCATCCCAGGTGATGTCATACCTTCATACCCACCGAGCAGCACCTGTGATTGGTCAGCAGGGTACTAAGGGAAATGCCCCTCAAAACAATAAAATCTATTGTGCTGGCACTTCCATCAGAGGAGCTCTAACTGCGCTCGCTGCTTCTGTCTCTGAACATTAGCTTATTTTATTAGCTGCAGTTTGATCTCCCATTCGTTTGTTTATCTAAAAAGTGAAACTGAAGTTTGGAGGTGAAGTTTGCATGCGGGTGAGTTAATTCTCTAGAGCTGTACTCCATCAGCACCAGGCGCTCTTGCCTTTTTGACATTATGGATGTGAACAACTCAGAATAGACATTTAACACTACAGAGGTGTATCGATATGGTAATTGTGGGAAGATGTCAATATCTGATATTTCTCATGTACATTACAGAGAAATATAACATTTATTTCAGTAGGGTCTTAAATGTAGTAAAATGAATGAAATGTAGGGATCTTAGGGCAGTTGCCCTCATCGCTCTTCCACAGTACAATAATACATCATCAAATATCGGTTTGAAGTATTGATCAAATCTAAACATCTGACACGGATCATTTTTTTACAGCAATTATCTTCGGATAACTGAATGATTCTGACATCATTGTGCATCCCTGTCTAATACTACGTAATGTAAGTTAATGAAAAGACGTTTTATTCCAAGTGATTCATGAAATTTTCATTTTCATGAAATCATCATGAAATTTCCAAAAACGTGAAGAACAGAAGGCGAAACGATGGAGAGAAAAAAAATTGGCAAAAATGGAGGCACGTTTTTCTTTGAACAGTGACAATATGCTACTTTATACATATTGTGATGAATTATATCACATTAAGCTTTTCTGAGCAAATTGGATACCATCAGTACTGACCAATTGCACACACTTAAAAATGGTGGTTCTTAAAGGGTTCTTCAGCAAAGTAATTGGTTTTGTATGGAACAATAAACATCCAAAGAACCCTCTGAATGTTTAAATGTTTTTTTACATTGTGAATGCGTTCTTTAGATTGATGCATAATGTGTTGTGTATGGTTCTATTTAGAACCTTTTTAAAAAGGGTTCTATATAACACCAAAAAGGGTTCTTCTATTGTTACAGGCTTGACATTGTACCAACAGAAGAATCCTTTTTGGCGCTATATGGAGTCCTTTTCAAAAAGGTTCTATATAGAACCACCTATAGCACATTCTCCATCAATCTGAAGAACGCTTTCACAATGCAAAGAACGTTTTAATCATGCAAAGGGTTCTTTGAGAGTGCATCGGTCTTTATAGAAACATTTTCTTTATTAAAAAAACCCTTGAAGAACCATCTTTAAACAGTACATATTACAAAGAGCATAACTGGCAGTAATGGGGCCTCAAGTCACGCTCGAGTTACATGTTGACTGACACATGACTTGACTCGGAGTCACCCTTAACTGACTCGACTCAAACTTATGACTGAAATTTCAGCTTGAGAAAAAAACAGATTAAATTAGGAGCAGCAACATTAATGCATTTAATCAGGGAAGCCTTTCGTTTCCAGCCTTACATGTGCATTGTGCCTGTCAGTTTTGCTATGTTCATGCACAGTCATTACTGTAATGCTGTTCTCCTGCAGCTCATAACACCGTCAGGTTCAATACAGCTTTGAATATCGAGCCTTTCACTATAGAAAAACCTGTAGTCTGATGGAGCAAAGGTGGTGTTTAAAGGAAAGAGGTGAAACAATTTTGAAACAGTTGAACTGGATAGCACGTATGCTAGCTAAAGCTAGCGTTATATATGAAGCTACCCCCTAATCTAGCTGAAGTTTTGATAACTCACAGATCATATTCCTTTAAAACTTACTAAAATTTAAGCTGGATTCACTATTGCCAGAAACTTCAGATGTGTGCTGTATTCAGATGCCCTTCAGCAGCAGGACAAACCGTATCTTCAGTCGAAATAGCTTGGATGTCTACTGCACTGGTCATTCCAGCAGATTAGGGAAAGGTCAACCTGTACGTCTGCAGCTAAGATCAGAAGTGACATCATTCTTTTTGTATTCACATGGTTTGAGACTAACACTGCTCTGAAATGCGGCAGTCATCGTTTCAGACTTTTTGGACATTTAGGGAATCATATGGTTCAAATTTTCAAATATCCCAATTAGATGTAAACAAAGTCATTCAGAGTGGTGTGGTGTGAAATGGTTCACTGTAGAGAAACTTACTGACTTAGATTCCTTTACAGTGGTGGTGACAGAAACCAGGGGTTGCCATGACAACAACACAAATACGGCCATTTTCCATTTTATTTACTATCCAAAACCACCAGTGGACATTAAAATTGAAAAGGCATTAAAATCTTCAGACGTCTGGTTCCTATCACCACCACTGTGAACAGTTCTGACTCTGTTTCTTGTTTTTTTTTTTCACATCAGACTGCTCTGAATGTCTGTTTACATCGTAACCATTGAATTATGGAGACATTTTTAAAACATCCAACTTTAAAGCCTAAACTCCATGTTTGTTTTTATGCTACTTTTTCATTCATATTCCAGTCATTTCAGAAAAGATCTTTCCCATGGCATTTCTGGGAGACAGGGGTTGAGCCAGCCAAAGAGCAGCTCTGGCATTGTTCCCCAACAAAACAAAACTTTTTCTTTTGCATTGTTGTCCGGTTTCCATGGGAACACTCGGTTGCAAGAGAGGAGGAAAATATTTGGGTCATGCTGGACCCCCTGCTCGTGTGGCATGGACAGCAAGATCTTTAAGCAGTTTGGTACTTTGACCGCTTGTTTTTCTGTCCATTTCCTAAAACAACATCCTGACTTGGCTCTGTGCAAACAGTGAAAAGAGAGCGAGGAAAGACTTGTGGGGAAATAAGCCGTGCCCCGTTGGCTCAGGCCCCTCCTCCCCTGCCCAAAGAAGGGCAGAACAATCCTGTGCCTTATATGGGAGGATGATATCACCAGTGAGTGGAGCAATGCCTTTTTGCACAGCATTCACCTTTCATTGTGCACTCATGACATGCTTGGAATGTGATGGCCAATTCAGCAGGGAGCAGGGGCCCTTGTCCGACCCCACGGAAATCTTAGCAGCTCACAGCTACACAGCTACAGTCGTAGTCCAAAACAAGCTAGGCATGGACCCACCTGGAATACTTCCCAGCTAGAGGGTGAGTTTGAACACTGTTTAGAAAATGAGGGATGTTTGTGTGCAAGCAACAGTGTACAGGCTGGATTCAGCTTTGTTTGTGGTTTGGGGTCATTTGTAAAATCTGCAGTTCACAGTAATTGACAGAGAAGACATTCTTCTTTCAAAAAGTCGACTTTTCCACCAAGTTTCTCTTTGAACTCTAATGTGCTCTGGTTCACTTGTGACGCACAAGTCTCCTGCAGAGTTGAGGCAGGGTAAACATTTACCAGCATCACAGATGGTCAGTTTTTAGTTGCTCTTGACAGCAGAACACACATAGGAGTAAGTGTTTAAGGATCCTTTTTGGAGTATTTTGGTCTTTTGTGCCTGGTTCCTCATACGGTCCTGCAGTTCAGTGATCATACAAGCATGTGAGGCACAGTAATCTTGTCAGAGACAATCACATGAGGGCTTAGAATCAGCACTGACCCTCCCTCTCTTGTTCTCTGATATCAAGCTTTTTTCCCCTTTTCTGCTTCTCTGCTTTGTATCCCATCACTATTTTTGTGGATTTTCATAGACACGCCATATAGTGCTGTACAAAAGTGAGAAACCTTCATTTATTTCATTTCCAGTCAAACATGCCAATAAGTCTCATTAAGTACAAATTATCTGTATTTTTGGAGATATTTCTGAGATAGTCCACTTGCACAGAGAAGAGGACAGTCAAATAAAAATATGTGAAAAAACAGGAGTTTCCAAAACTAAAGGTCAAAAATTATTAAAAGCGACAGAGAAAATGAGACTCCTTACAACTGTGCAAGACCTGGTAGACACCAAAACTGTCCCCATCAAATAAACAGCACCTAAAGCTTTCTTCTTTGAGAGAAAGGAGAAAATCAAGCTGCTTCAGATCTGAAAACATCCATAGGTGTTTCTGTCCATCCTTCCACTGTAAGAAGAAGATGACTCAGCGCTATGGGTCTGAAAGGTTGTGTAACTGGAGGTGTGGCTGCAGATGAGTCTGTTGAAAAGAATGGAAGCTGTAATAAAAAAAAGGGTGGTCATACTGCATGTTGCATATATATATTATTATATTATTATAGTTATTTTTTGTTTAATATACTGCTTTTTCTTGACAATGAAAAATTAATAACTCATACTTAATGGCCATCTTAACTGGAAATTAAATGAAGGTCTCTGACTTTTCCAAAGTACTCTATGCTGATTCATTTTTCCGGGTAAATGTTTGAAGCAAAAGCTTGTGGTAAAGACTTGTTTCTGTGGATGATATTGTGTTCTTTTTGCCCTGATCAGAAATCTATGAATGACTTTGATGTTAGTTAAAGTTTTACTTGGGGCGTGTCAGCTGTGTATGTGGCTGATGTCATGTTCGTAGCCTTGACCCTCCTGTCTGCAATCTCTATAAACTGCTTTACGATTACAGAGAGTCCTTTTCTTTTGCAGCACTGCCTTTCTGAAGGAGAATTCGCTGACAGTTTAATCCAATTTTCTATTTTCTCCTGTGTTTCTGCCAGACTAAAAAGACTGCTGGAGCAGGAGAAGGCGTACCAGGCCCGTAAAGACAAGGACCACAGCCGACGGCTGGAAAAGGTAAGAGAAGAGCTGGTGAAGCTTAAGTCCTTTGCACTGATGCTGGTGGACGAGAGACAGCTCCATATTGACCAGATCGATCAGCAAAGCCAGAAGATCCTGGACCTCAACAAAAAGCTGCAGGAGCGAGAGCAACATCTTGAGAGTGTCTCCAACAAATCCAAAGAGGAGAGTCAGAGGATTCAGAAGTTGGAGGTGGAGTTAGAGCAAAAGGCTGCAAAGTTTGCGCTGGAGCACGAAGAGATGACAGCAAAGTTATCCAGTCAGGAAGCGCAGAGCCGGCAGTTACGCATGAAGCTGGCAAGTCTGTCACGGAGAATTGAGGAGCTTGAGGAGAGCAATAAGGTGCTGCAGAAATCTGAGGAGGATCTTCAGGAGCTGAGGGACAAAATCAGCAGGGGAGAATGTGGAAACTCAAGTCTCATGGCTGAGCTGGAGAACCTGCGTAAGAGAGTGCTCGAGATGGAGGGGAAGGATGAAGAGATCACAAAAGCAGAGGCACAGTGTAAGGAACTGAGGAGGAAGCTGCAAGATGAGGAGAACCACGGCCGTGAACTGAAAATTGAAATTGAAAAGTTGCAGAAAAGGATGGTGGACCTGGAGAAACTTGAGGGAGCTTTTAATGTGAGCAAGTCAGAGTGTGCCCTACTTCACACAAACCTGGAGCGAGAGAAGAATTTGACAAAGAACTTAGCCAGGGAGCTTGACACAGTTAAAAATCGTGTTAAAGAGCTTGAGTGCGCAGAGTCAAGGCTGGAAAAGGCTGAAGTAAGCTTGAAGGATGATTTGACAAAACTGAAGTCATTTACTGTAATACTAGTAGATGAGAGGAAGAACATGGCAGAGAGAATTAAACAAGAAGAGCAAAAAAGTGAAGACATGAGCAGGAGGTTCAAGGCTGAGCAATGCAAGGTCATGGAAGTCACGGAGAAACTGATCGAAGAGAGCAAAAAGCTCTTGAAACTCAAGTCAGAGATGGAAATGAAAGTGTCTGCTCTCACAAAGGAGAAAGAAGACCTAAAGGCCAGACTTGTAAGTGAAGAGGAGAAGCGAAAGGATCTCAGTGCAAAGGTCAGCCTAATGCAGAAAAGAATGGATTGTTTGGAGGAAACTGAGAGAAAATCCTTGAGAAGTAGGGTTGATGTTGACAAGGCAAGTTATTCTGAAGAGGACAACAAGGTAAAGGAGTTAACAGATGAAATTGAGAGGCTGAAGAATCGTCTGAAGCAGCTTGAAGTTGTGGAAGGCGATTTAATGAAGACTGAGGATGAGTATGACTTGCTTGAAAAGAAATTCAGAACAGAGCAGGACAAGGCCAACGCGCTTTCGCAGCTCTTGGAGGAAATGAAGATGCAGATTGCCAGAAACAAAGCAATAGAAAAAGGGGAGGCTGTGAGCCAAGAAGCTGAGCTAAGATTGAGGTGCAAGATGGAGGAAGCCAGAACCAGAGATTTGCAGGCAGATGTCTTGGCCCTCAAGGAGAAGATTCATGAACTAATGAACAAGGAGGACCAGTTATCTCAGCTTCAGGTTGACTACACCATTCTCCAGCAGAGGTTAATTGAAGAAGAGGACAGGAAGAGAAGTATGAGCCAACAGATCCTAAACCTCACCAAGGAGTTAGAGGTCACTAAGCGCTACAGTCGGGCACTGCGACCTAGCATGAATGGAAGGAGGATGGTGGATGTTCCCCTTACCTCAACGGCTGTGCAGACAGACGCAGAAAGTAGCGAAGTTGTTGAAGAGGACACTCCGGCAGTATTCATAAGGAAATCGGTTCTGGAAGAAAATCATGTCATGAGCAATTTGAGACAGAAAGGCCTCAAAAAACCAGCAGTGCTGGAACGTTATCCACCTGCAGCAACAGAGCTAAGTATGAGAAAATCATGGATACCCTGGATGAAGAAGAAGGACGGGATTATTGATGCACAGGATGGCTCAGACAAGGGAACCCATAAGATTAATGGAGATGCATCACCTGAGTTGACCATGCCTCAGAAACCAGGGCAGCCGTTGCATATCAGAGTGACTCCAGATCACCAAAACAGCACTGCAACATTGGAGATCACTAGTCCTCGTGCTGAGGACTTCTTCTCAAGCACTACCATCATCCCCACTTTGGGTTTACAGAAGCCTCGGATCACTATAGTTCCCAAGCCTACCACGGTATCACCGAAGAGTGCATGTGATGGACCGGAGAGGACCAAGTCTCCAGTGACCATTACTACCATTTCCAGAGCTAAGTCCCCAGATGGAAGCAATGGCTCTTACTCTGACCGCCCAATCTCCCCTGTCTCAGTCATTACGGTCAGCACAACCCCTGTGGCCCAGGCGTCTGTCTCTCCAGAGCCTCACGAGATGACCATGGGCCGAGCCGTGTTTAAGGTGACCCCAGAAAAGCAGGCGGTGCCGAAACCAATCCGCAAATTTAACTCCAACGCCAACATCATAACGACAGAGGATAACAAAATACACATTCACTTGGGTTCGCAGTTCAAGAGGACTCAGGATGCTGGCAGCAGTCCACACACGCTCACAGTAAGGCCTCTTAGTGTGACCGCAGAGAGCAAGGAGACATCTACCGGGACTGTCCTGCGCTCACCTCGACAAACCTCCACATCTGCAGGGAAAACTGTCTCTGGCAAAATGACCAGCAGCATCACCATTACCCCAATAACTTCGGCTCCCTCCAGACCTACCCAGTCTGTGGTGAGTGGCTTTAACTTTCGTAAAATTTATCTGTAGATGCCCTTGTTTGCTTAGCTGTTTAGCAGTTAATAGGACTGTGTGAATCTGTGACCCTAAACAACATAATCATGTGTAATCTTCTACATTACAGTTGCTTCTGAAATGTTTCAAAATGATATCAGGGGGCGTCTGCTCCCTAGATAGTTCTCTGCCCAGGTATAGATCAGTCAAATTTATTTCCTAACAAATGACCATTAAGGGGGGATTCCACCAATTGTTCAACATTTCTGCATAATAAATTGTTAAGATGGAAGTTATTCAGAGTGGTTTGATGTGAAATGCTTTGTTTTAGAGAAACTTACCAAAATTCAGAATTGTTCACAGTGGTAGTGATAGGAACCAAACGTCCAAAGAGTTTAATGTCCTAAAAACTCCTTTATGTGAAATGGTTATGAACATACTGTCTGATGCATGAGACGTTGTTTGATGATATTTTTGAGAAGGTTTTGGCATAAAGCATGTTATCATTACTCAAAACAAAATGTACCTTCATTTTATTCAATTCTCTGCATTATTTGAGCACTGCAGCTGGCTTTTTCCTTGTGTCAAAATTTCATGATGAATGGACCAATAAAAATGGTCAAAATGACTTCTCGCTACATTGACTTGTATTAAAAGGAAAATAATGGGTCTTTTTCTCCTCTAAAGTGACCATTTTGGAGATACTTATGTTTTTTTGGAAAAGGTACATGCAGGGTATATGTGGTTCCTATCACCACCACAGTAAAGAAATCTGAGTCAGTATGTTTCTGTACAATGAACCATTTCACACCAAACCACTCTTCATGAATTTGCTTACATCTCAACGATTGAATTATGCAAAAAAAATTGGTGGCATTCCCATTTAACTAACACTGGAATGAGCCATTATGCCAAGCCCACCTGAAAGAGGTCATCTTGGCCTCTTGAGATAGTTTCACCTGGCACCAACTGACCAAGCCCCTCATGTTTAACTTGTTATGAAATTGCCCTGAACTGTTTGACCAGCACTTTGCAAAAGCTCCTGACCAGAAGTGAGCTAGCATGCATATTCTGGCACTACAAGACCCTCTACTAAAACAATCACAGTAGCTAACTGAGAGGTGTCCCTTTAGGTGAAACGGGGTTTGTACATTTCTCTTTTGGAGATGCATGACATAGGTTGCAAACATATCATATATCAGATCATATTTATATGTAAGAACCACTTTTTGAAAATTTTAAATGTAATTATTAAATAAGAGCATTGAACAACTCCCGCTCGCTTGAAATATTAGAGTATGGCAAATCTAATACTGTCACTGATAAGGTGGATGGCCATCCCTTTCCAGAATTTTACAGAACTATGGCAGAAAATGGGAATTTGTACACAAATAAAAGCAGCAAATAGTTCTGCAAAGGGGAGGGGGACATTACATCCACAATGAAAGGGCTTGCCTTCCAGGGGAATTCAGCTGATTTTTCAATATTTCAGCATATCAATTGTTGAGATGTAAACAAAGTCATTCAGTGTGGTTTGATATGAAATGGTTCATTGAAGAAAAACTTTCCGATTCAGATTTCTTTACAGTGGTGGTGATAGAAACCAGGGGTCACAATGTCTACAACACAAATATAGCCATTTTATTTACTATCCAAAACCACCAGTGAACCTACACATGCTTTATATGTAATGGTGATGATGGTGAAAGTGGTAAAAAAAAAAAAGGTTTTTTGGGGACTGTTTTGCCTTATAACGACCTGCATACCCCTCCACCATGAAGACAGAGTACGAAAGGCCAAAATCTTATCTCAAAACTATTAGAAAGCAAAGTCTCATGCTTAATGCAATGTTTTTGTTACCATTTTATGTTATAACTTGCTTTGAGGAAGCTTTTAGAGGCATTAAACTCTTGAGATGTCTGGTTCCTGTCACCACCACTGTGAACGATTCTAACTCTTAAGTTTCTTTAGAATTATGCATTTCATATCAAACCACTCGGAATGACTTTCTTTACATTTTAACTATTTAATTATGCAGACATTTTGAAAAATCTGTAGAATTCCCCTCTAATGAGGTTCAAATATTGATTTAATTCTATAAAAAGTACTCTGTGAATTGCAGCAGTAGCTGTTTGTGTCTGACCAATCTAGACAAATACTCTCATCTCCTATTCAACAATATCTCTCTCTTCCTTTTCCCTGTTTTCCTGCCACCAGTCCGGGACGGATGTGCAGTCATCTAGGTCGGCAGCCACGCGAATCCCTATGTCAAAAGGTATGAAAACAGGCAAAGCAGTTTTGGGCCTTGCCACAGTATCCAGGATAGAGACTCGCTCTGAGAGCCAGTCAATGAAAATTGAACTGAGGAAGTCTGCAGTGTTCAGCTCAATATCCACCACAGCTGGCAAGTGCTGAGGGCCCAGCACTTTCTGATAGCTGCTAAGAAGGCCATAGAATTAACCTAAGCACTACTGACTATCATAGAAGGCACAAATGCAAAAGAAAGGAAGCCAGACACCATCCTCTCCACTGTTTATGATAAATACAAATGTGAACCTGTTGTAAATATGTGGTCTCAAAAGACCCTCCAGTGTATATACAGACCGTATGACACTTCTCTGCATGTCATGGTTGGCTTGAATGCGTCATCTTTCTTCTCTACTACAGCACAATGTTACTAACCCCTTAGCTGGGTTTTCTTCTGAAGCTGTTTTCATTTATCATTTCACTCATGTTCTGTTTGATATGAGAGTTGCTTGTGGAGGTTTCCAGGAAAAAAAAATTAATATAATACGTTTTCTTTGATTTCATCACATCAAGAGTAAATAAATCATTTTGGCTTTTTCAACCCTGAATTTTGCTACTTTGCCTCTTTTTTCTTCGGGTCTCACACCATTTTCATGTCAGACTATTAGAAGATTTGTCAATACAGCTGTCAATATGGTAACACTTCAGCGTGGGGGGCATCATAATGACTTTATAGTGGCTTTTTAAGCCTTAACAGTCCAGTAGCTGGTAGTTAACAGGCTGCTTATTGCTACTTTATTAATTAAAAACTAGTGGGAATTAAGCTAATTTAAGCTAACCTAAGATGAAATAAGCTAACAAGCCAGTTAATTACCAACTACTGGCTTATTAAGATTTAATAAGTGCGTTGCAAGAACATACTCTTTGCAGCGTTCATTAATAAGCACATTTTCTTATTGACCAAAGCTCGGGTGCTGGTTGAGCACAAGATTTTGATGTATAGGACAATAAAAGTGCCTTTGAAAATTCCCTTTAGTTACTGCTTAATAAAGTAGTAATAAGAAAACAATTAGAAGTTATTGGCTTCATAAAGCTTAATAACGGCATAACCTAAGTGTTGTGCAAAAGATTATGATTTATAATATGCAAATAAAAGTGCTCTGGAAGATGCTTAATTCCACTTAATAAAGTAGTAATAAGCACCCAGTTAGACGTTATTGGCTTCAATCGGCTTAATAAGGACATAACAATGGAAACCTAAAGATTGTGGTGCATAATATGCAAATAAAAGTGCTGTGGAAGATGCTTAACTCCCCTTTAGTTACTGCTTAATAAAGTAATAAGCAACCAATTAATTAGCAGATATAGGCTTAATAAGCTTACCAATGACATAACAATGAACACTTATATGTTGTGCAAAAGATTGTGATATATGCAATGTCCTGAAAAATGCTTTATTCCCCTTAATAAAGTAGTAATTAGCAGTTAATTAGCAGTTCCTGGCCTTACAAAGCACAGCAAGGACATATGTTGTGCAAAAGATGATGCGTAATACACAAATATACTTGAAAATGCTCATTTCACTCTAGTTGTTGCTTAATAAAGTCGTAATGAACAGTCTGTTGACTACCAGCTAATGGGTTGTTAATGCTTAAAAAAAGTATTACGAGGACATCAGAATGTGCCCCTATACTGACGTGTTACTGTGAACATTTATTAGGAAACCTCCATAAAATACAACATGATCCATAATGCTGTATTTAATAGACTCATCTGTACATCAAGCATGCTTGACTGCATTTGCAATGGAACTGCATCATAAAATGCTTCACTAGACATGCCAATCATCAATAATTATCAGGAGCAGAGGCTTTTACCAAATGTGTCCAGTGTTGGTATTTAAACCTATAAAAAGGCAAGAAGGTCACCCACTGAGTGATGTGACCCTCTGTGTTTTTATTCTAAATATGAGTTTATTCTCAAAGCAGATTTTCCTCACTCATCACTCATCACTTCTTGGCTATCTTGCGCCCCCCTCTGGTCATGGAGTGTACATTAAAAACTCTTTCCATTGAGGCCATAAGAAGATGGTTCAAGTAGGCCACATTGTCCGACTATTACGTTAGCTGCAAACATCTGTTGTGTCGCAATTGCTCATTTCATCACATTTGAACTGTTCTGAAAGCCATGCTGTGCAGCCAAAAAGCCTGATTTGAAAATGATGTCCTTCTTCCAGTGCGTCAGTAACGAAATATGACCCAATGAAGACACACAGTCTGTTGAGTTATACAAGCGCAACACCGGAGACACAACTATCAGAAGCGTCCTGTGTTCCCTTTGCGCTTAATTAGAGGCATCTGGGACACAGACAAACAATCGTGTGAGGGCTGAGTGGCAACAGCTCAGTGTTGCTCTCCATGTTGGGTTCAGGTCCTGTTCTTTGGGCTCAGGGTTGCATTTCTGATGTGGATCACAGAAGCCTTGGATGGAGCTCCACAATGATGAACCGAAAAGTAATGCATTGAATGTAGTCAACTCAAGTGTCTGTATCATCTCCGCATTGATTTACGGTAACAAAATTTCATACATCTGAAATGGTAACTTTGCAGAAGAAGGAAAATGTTTAATGTATGTTAATGTAAGGAGATTTTGGAATGTAATGAATAATTTTGGAACATTTCTGGTTGGAATGTTCACATAATGTAAAGAGCAGCTGATGGTTTTAAATACGTACTTTTGAAGTTTTCATACATATAGAAGGCGGTTCCTGCCAGGCAGAGTTTAGCTTATGACTTATTCTTCTCTGTTTCTGGCAGCATTATGTCAAAATTTAGGCTTATTAACACCTCAGTTTCCTGAAGTAATTATTTTATTCATTATTTCAACATGGTATCTTAAAAATTTGAAAAAAAGTCGTTTTGAGATATTAAGTCAATATTTCTAGAAAATCAGCCATTATTTTGAGAAATTAAGTCAAGAGTTTGAGGAAATAAGTCATTATTTTGAGAAATTAAGTCAGCATTTTGAGTAAATTAGTAATTATTTCAGTATATTAAGTCAATATTTTGAGGGAATAAGTAATTATTTCATAATTCTAAGTCAATATTTTGAGAAGAAAGGTCATTATTTTGAGATATTAAGTCAACATTTTGACATTAAATTAATATTTGTAGATAATTTTTTAGAATATTTCATTATTTTGCGATACTGTCAATATTTTTTTTAAAAAGTTATTCTTTTGAGGTATTAAGTGAATATTTCAAGAAAATAAACAATTATTACAAGATAACCAATCAATATTTTGAGGAAATAAGTGATTATTTTAAGATATTATGTCTATTTTAAGAAAATAGGTCAATATCTTGAGATACTGAGTCAAACATTTGAGAATATCAGGCATTATTTTGAGATATTAAATGATGTCAAGACAATAGGTCATTATTTTGCGATACTACATCAATGCACACTTCAATGCATTACATATTAGATTTCACCTCAGAGCTGCTCAGATTACGTGTCGGGGAATCAAATCTAATTGTGCACTTTAGTAAACTACACTGAAATGATTATAGGAGAAAACAGAAAGAGTCCAGCCCAGTCACTGCCCGTCAAAAGTTTGGGCACACCTTTTTAGTTAAGCAAGAAAAGCAGCTCCAAAGGTTTTGTTAGCATAAAGCGGCTATGTGCTGATCCTGAGGGGGGGAATGTGAAAGCACATGTTGAAACTACTGGTCCAAAGATGATTTAAACACCTGAAAGGTTTGAGTGCTGACAAGTGCTGACATCACAATAAGGGGGGAAATGTGCAGTCTGTGGTTTTATTCCCAAAGTAGGACTTTTTTTAATTAGCTGCTCTTACAAAATCTAAACAGCTTTGTCTTTGATATATTTGATATATTTAGTTGTTGCAAAACAGCGAAGAAATGTCATCACTGTTAGAACAAAAGCTTATGCCTTCAAAATGCTTCTTTTACAGGAGAAGGAGAAAACATTCTTAACTCGTAATTGAAGTTAACTGTTTTCTTACAGTAATTTGGGGTAATTTATATTGTTCCATTCATCATGAAATTTTAGATTTTAACACAGTGCAGAAAGGAACTCTTTCAAAATATGCCAAAAAGTAAAAAACAACAAAGATAAAGCTACAAGTTTTTTGCACGACAGTGATGATCTGCTCATGTTTTAAAAACAAACGAAACAACTAAAATAAAAAAGCCCCTGAGATGAATTCAGCGTTGTGTTTCAGTCAGACCTCAACACAGGAGTGGAATGACAAACAGGAGCTGAGAAAAAAGAAGGTCCATCAAAGGCAGCTGCTTGTTTCTCTAATTGATTTCATGCTCATCATTTCATTAGCTTGAAGCTGATACTCTTCATTTTCTAATCTTTTCCTATCCATTAACATCATTTGGCTGTTTGTCCATCAGAAAGCGGCTTATGATTGAAAAGGCTGTTTTACACTCAGTAAAAAGTTCAGTTATATGAATGAAAGGTTCTACATGTAATGTCAACATGTTGCACTGCTTTTTTTCCTTTGTGGTTTATACAACCCCATTTCCAAAAAAGTTGGGACGCTGTGCGAAATGTAAATACAAAAAGAATGCAATGATGTGCAAATAATTTAAACCCTATATTTATTTGATCACAGCACAAAGATGTTTGTGTATCAAATGTTGAAACTGAGAAATGTTTTTGAAAAAGTAGGCACATTTTGAATTTGATGCCAGAAACACATTTAAAAAAACTGGGACAGGGACAACAAAAGACTGGTAAAGTTGTGTAATAAAGCAATAAGCCACAAGAGGCAGTAACACACATTGCTTTTATAAAATGGCAGCCGACATAAACTATGAAAAAATACACATTTTTTCCGGAAAATAATTTGTTTTTATTAATAATTATCAACATAAACAAGTATTCCGCCAAGAAATGCAGTTCCTTTAGATTATGGTATCATTGCCAAGCAACCATGAACTGTTGAATGAGGAGAAGAATTTTTGGTCGCCCATTGCTATAACTTGTCGTATAACAATGAACATATGATAACACAGCACTGTTTAATGCTTCACTTTATAAGTACTTTTTGGTCACCAAATTACCACCGAGTCGTATTTAGCAGCAGTCCAACAGTGCCCCTCTTCTCACACTGGGGCTAAATCTCAAATGTCTGCCTGCTGCCAACATAGTGCACTATGTAGGAATTTAAACACTGGTTTAATTTAAATTTACTGGCACAGATTATTCCATTAACAGCACAAGGATTTTTCCGTTCCGTGGCACAGTAATATATAATTCAGCTGTTGTGAGGTGTCATAGGTGTGCGTATATTGTGGATTTTACAATGGCTTCGAACGCAGCTCAGCCAATCAGATTTTAGCCCTGGAACTCTCTGTTTCATAATGCTTAAAAAACACACTTGGTGGAAAATCTCACAACTAATTAGGTTACTTGGCAACAGGTCAGTAACACGATTGGGTATAAAAAGAGGCGTCAACTACAAAGGCAAAGTGCAACAGGTCAAGAATAACATTTCTCACTCATGATACTGACTTGTTACCAATTTACCTAATTAGTTGTGAGATGTTCCACCAGGTGTCTTTGTTGCCCCCGGCCCAGCTTTTTTGAAACATGTTGCTGGCATCAAATTCAAAATGGGCATATATTTTTAGGTTTTAACCTTTGATAT